AGACTTGAAAAAAAAAGAAATTCTTTGTAATTAATAAACGTTTTATTCATAAGCAATAAATAATGGAACAAATGTTAAGAGGAAACAAAAAAAATTCTTTGACTTTTTTTTTTTCTTTACTGTTTTTTTTTTTTTTGTACCTACTAACAATGACTAAATATTTTTACATACAAATTTTTTTTTTGTTAACACTTTTTTTTTTTAACACATTTTTTTTTTAACGCAATTTTTTTTAAACACACACACAAAGTTTTTTTCTAAACACAATTTTTTTTTTTGACAAATGTTTTTTTTTTTTTTTTTTTTTTTTTCTAAACACAATTTTTTTTAAGCTATTATAAAAACATTTTTTTTTTCACACAGTTTTTTTTTTTAAAGAATAACAGAGAGATGATAATATATATTTACAAACACAAAAAGTGTTGAGTCACGATAGCTTATTATTTTTCTTAATACAACTTTGACGACAAATGAAATTTAAATCTGAAACAGGTACATCAACATCATATTTTTCTTCTATAAAATCTTGCACTAACACATCATTGATAAGGTAGTCATCCGTAAACACTGACATTATGCTGCTCATTGGAATATCTCTGCATCTATGCAGTAAGTAAAAAAGGCAGTGTTGTCCACAGACTGTAGTGCTTAGGGATTGCAAACGAACTGCATTGTAAATAAAGTGCAAACTGTTCTTTTTTAGAAATGTTTGAAAATAACGCCCGTATACATAGGGATGTTGCCCATAGGAGCAAAAGAATTCGGCGCGTCTGTCCCGAGTGAAGTACACCGCCAACCAATGGGTGCCCTGCTCGTTGCTCTTGTCAGTGTTGATGATGAATGCACGGGGGTATTCTGTCACTGGTGGTAGCCTATCTGCCGGAAATACGCCAGCCGTGTAACGCCGAGTAATACTGTCTCCCTTGAGTACTTGTAAAAGTTGCACGCTATCCATATCGTCTTTTAATTGGAGTAATCAATCAGAATATTTCGGCTCTCGTCCACTTCTAGGACGCTATCAAACTCGCTGTATATGACAACGTTGACTGTCGTCGTTAAAGCTGTTCCAAACTTCAGCTCGAGGCGCATGTTACTGCGCTTTACCAGGTTAAGATTAGATCCACAAGACAAATCAGGAGACAGATCAAATGCAAAGAGAGAATAGCCCCTTTCGTAATCTTCCCTGGAAATGGCATTTCCAACATCTTTATACAGCGTATTTATACCGGAATACAACGTCTGATAGGCCATCATGTACGCGTCATCTTTTCCAGAGAATTTGGGTTGAAGCGGTCTCCACGGTGTCTGTTCGTTATCCACATACAGACCCATGAAATTTAATCCATAGTGTTTGAAATTATAGGGATTTTTACGGTAATCACCGTTAAAGGCCGTATTGTCTACCATGCCAATCACCACGCGCCTAGGGATCTGTCCCAAAAACAAGTTTTCGCGCGTAAAAGATTGATTTCCTTGCGGAATCGAAAAAGTCTTCACTTCAACTCTTCGAAGATTATACTTTGCCGTAGCAGTCTGAAGGGTTTTGGCATGCGCTAGAGCCACAGTGGGACTGACGGTGACTTTTCTCACGTACAGAGAGGCTTCCAAAATTTTTACTTTGTAATGTGTATCGGGTAAAGCAGACAGTAGACAAAAGCTATTTTTGCTGCGATGAAATTTTAGTTTGAGGCTGACTCCGTTCAGTAAAAATTTATCTTGAAAGAATATGTCGGAGTGAACCGGTCCTAAAAGATCTACAATTCGGCTCTCCCGTGTCAACATATATCTTTTCTTTAACCCTTCGTTGAAATCCTCTTCCGCGGTTGGATCGTTGGCTTCCATTTTTCCGCCCGTATCTTTGTAAAACAAGGCCGCAGTCAGCTGAGACGTCTTAGCGGCAGGGCCATATGTTAAAAGGGTTTCCAGATAGGCTCTATACGGATACGTGTCCGATGAGGACGAGATCAGCTTGTCGTTGAGCGAGACATCCACTTCCGAGAACAGTGACTGCAGAAACAGGTTAGCTGGGCCAACCGGAACGCCCTCTGCAAGGTCAGTACCATTTTCATTTACAATTTTTGCCTTCACGTTGATTAGAGTGTGTGCAAGATCCAGATAGTGCTCGGTCGAACCAGTGACATTGAATTCTATCGAGTCCGAGTCCACAATATTTGTCAGAGGGTTAAACTGGACATATTTCCCACCTAAAATAGAGGTCTGAGTCGGGGTTAGAGAGAAAAGATCTAATTCTGACTTTGTGCATTCGCACGAGTGTTTGCTGACGAATGCCATGGTTTATAGCGTTGCTATTAATCAAATATGTCGAGGGTCCTCTTCGCTCGCTTGCTCGGAGCCTTTCTGCGTGATGTACCAGTTGCTTTCCTTTTTAAATGTTTTCTCTGACTGGGAGATTTCTTCGAAAGCTGCTTTTTAACTCGTGACGTCATGTTCAATCCAACCTGTCGCAGTTGCTTCTTTGCGGCCGCTTTCACATTTTGTCCATTCAGGGCATCTGCAGCAATTCCAACTCCTGTCTTTAAAGCCTCTTTGCCTAGCATTTTTGCGCCTTGTTTGATCATTGGCAAAGCGGATCTAAAAAGACCGCCTAAAATATTTCCAAGTCCGTATCCTTTCTGAATGGGGGCACCCCTAAAAAAATTGTCCCCACCTCCGGCTTGGTTTTTGTAATATCTCTCGTAGTCTATCATGATTGCTTAAAACAAGGAGGGACGACTTCTTCTAAAATGAAGTGTCGTCGTGAGCTTCCCACGTTGGAATGGTATTTTTTCAGCAGTGTCTGTAAATATATTCATTTGTATATTCTCAAAGTGTTTTCGTTTTACAGGCACGTAATGAGGTGTGCTGAATGTATGGGCAACGACATCACCCTGATTAACTCCAGACGTCTGCACCGGGACGATCCTCAGTAGCGGCGCGCTCACATCACCCACCAGTTGATTCTCGACGATGTCACAGTACACGTACATACCGTAAAAACCACCATTGACGTCTACTGGTAAGTGACCTTCTTTGTTTTCATTAACCGCTTTGTGTTTTAATCCCAACATGCGATACAGATGATCATCAAAATATATGAACGCCCCCTGTCTGAGTTTTATCTTAACTCTGCCGGTGTAATTATTTAAGTTAATATTAATATTATGTCTAGCTGCTTCTGTCATCTCCCTATTAATTGCATCTATAATTTCCCGTACGGATTTATAGAATCCGTGCGAAATTCTCGCGTGGGTTTGTACTAGACCATGCTCGCTAAACGTAAAAGAATTGTTCTTTTCTGTGATATTGTACCAAGTGAAAGGGTAATGGATTTCAGTCAGGGCAACCTCCCAATTACCAGCCAGATTAATTTGTTTCACAAGACGTGTAGTGTAACTAGACAGTGTATTGTCTGGATACAATGACATGGATGAATTACTAGGCAGCGTTACGTAAAACTGAGTCGAAGGTGATGCCATGACCGCGTCCTTATTGCTGAACATCCGTCACCCAACTGTTGAACGATGAAGGATACCCTAACCATTTAACGAAATATTCGGTCTTTTTATTTTTACGTCGTTTACGCAGTACTCTTTCAATCCTGTAAAGAGCATCAGGCGATTTATAGATTTTTTGCAACTCTGGCTCGTAAAAAATTCCAGAAATTTCTGAGCCTACAAAATCTTTTAATTTATACACCGGTCTTTCCTGTCGCCCGTTGCGTTCGGCTACGGTAAATATTTCCTCGGACCACGAGGGGAGGTACGACTTTTCAAACGTTAACCGCTGTTTACTGACTCGAACCTGATCCCCGACTTTAAACTTAAATTTTACGGGCGTTTTAGACGTGGAATATAAATGTTTCCAGACTTTGCTTTCATTCTCACCGTTGACTTCCACGGGTTTCATTTTAATGGAACGATGATAGGAATGATTATACGCCTTCACCAGTTTCTGCAACACATCGATGTATTTCAAAGTATTTTTGTACGTAAAATACCGCCACATTCTAGACTTGAGAGTGCGATTAAATCTCTCCACAATGGGGGCTTTCATCTCGCTGTTTGTCGTATAGAAATGGATGCCTTCTGTTTTTAGCAAATCCTGAAACAAACGATTCGTAAATTCGCTGCCTTTATCAGTGTGAACCATAGTCGGAGGTCTACCGCTAGACTTGATATTGTTTTTGAAAGCTTCCACCAATACCTTTCCAGTTTTGTTTTTCAAAGGAATCACCCAGGCGTATTTGGTAAACACATCGATCCACGTCAGTAAAAATCGATATCCGTTGTTGTACTTTGACAGGTTGGAAACATCCACTAAATCCAACTGATGTATCTCGTCAGGTGCTACAGCTATAATTTTATTCCTGGGATATTTCTTTCTAGCCGGCTTATGCAGCGTGTATACATCCTGTCCAATGAGAAAGTCTTTAATTTGTTCGCGCGTAATTTTGTACTTTCCATCGTTCCTGACAGCGCGATACAATTTCTCAATACTACTCAAACCGCTTTCACGCCCAATGTCATAATATAACGTCTTCAAGTAACTTTTGCGATCATCCATGATCCTGTCTTATCAACGCATTAGTTAAAAATGACAGTTTATTACATTTATTCACCTCTTTAATTTAATTTTTTTTTTTAAAGTCTTTGCAATAAAAATCACACTTTTGAGATTTGTCATCTTTTTATTTCTGTTTAAAATTACTTTTATTTTTATTCCAATTTATTTTAAATCATTACAAACACAATTTTTTTTTTTTTTTTTTTTTAAACACAATCTTTTTTTTTTTTACTTTCATGTAGTTCAAATTTTTATACACAAGGCTTTTTTAAAATTCCAATTAGTTCAAATTATTAAACACAATTGTTTTTTATCAAAACTATGAAAACATTTAATAAAAGCTAACTATCAGAATACAAAAGAAAAAAAAAAAAAAAACAAAGTTAAACTGGATAGAGTAATCAAGTCAGTCAACAATCATGAAATAAAACACTGTAAATTGAATTCTTGTTGCGATTCCCTAAGGAATGTAAACATAACAGTTAAACCAACATCTGTTGTTGGAAACATATATCAGCATGACAAATGTTGTACAAAACGGCTCTACCATTTTCAGGTTCATCGACTTTCTTTTCGACGTGCATATTAACATATTTGGTAAAAAGACGATTTCTGGCATGAATAGTCGAATAGTATGAAACAATCCGATTGTTGTCTTTAGCAGTTAAATTCCACTCGGATCTACATTTCCCTAACTCAGTTTCTAAAATGTTATCTACAGCACGATCAAAGAACTTTTCCACCTTTTCAGACATGTCCAACATTATACACTCGTGGTTTTTCTGGGTGAAGTCTTTCTCTATTGGCAGATTACATCCATAGCATTGTTCCCTACAAATTTCATCTACTTTCTTAAGAATGCAAGGAACGAATATCGCCTGAATAATGTTGAATGCAAGGTCTTTACAGGCCTCACGTTCCTTCTCCTCCTCCGGTGTCCCGCTGGGCTTGGTGTATGGTACAGCGTCACCCGTATACCCCCATGGAAAGCCATCCCCCGGATCTGGCGTAGCCTCATCACTCTGAGCATCGCTGTCACGTTTCACCTTCTTGCTTCCTTGATCCCGTTGGAAAGAAAAATCCTGTAAAAGGACAAAAAAAATAAAAGAACAAAACAAAAAGTTTATTAATGTTTAAAAAAAAAAAGAGTAATGTGACACTTTTGAAATCAAACACATTTTTAACTCTGACACAAAAAAAAAAAGCAATTCGTAATGAAGACTTTATTTACATGAGTAATTTCTTACCTCCATGTCTTCCACAGCCTCGGTGATGGCAGGCATTACTTCTACCAGTTTCTTCCATTCGTCGACCCTCAGGTTTATGCCTCGCGGACTGCTCCAAAAGTTTTTACCCTTCACATGGACAAACTCGCGAATTTTGATGTAAATCTGGCCCTTGAAAGGTTCTACCACGGCGTGACGGACGTCGGTCAGCTCGAACCTAGCGGACGGGATAGTCTCAGCTCGGCGACGCTTGCTTGGGTCAGAATTTGGGAACGGTGCACTTCGATCTTCAGCACGAGTCATCATGCGCTGCTCCAGTCGCTCAAGTCGCTGGGGGTCTGCATTGGCTAACCATTCGGGCTTCGCTGGTGCGTACTCGCGTACTTCTTTACGACTACCGGCCGCGTCACATGACGGCAGTGATGAGGTAGGCGCAGTGTAGAAACTCTCTGGTGCAGCCATCTTGTTTACAAGGTTTGATGATGTCGTCGATATTACAGAACTGAAGCGGTATGACCAAACACTTCTACCCAGCGGCCTATTTATCACGCTTGCTTCTTTTGTCCGATAACCTTGCTCAAGTCTCCCTTTGTCCGCTATTTCGGCTCAAGTCTCCCTTTGTCCGCTATTTCGGCTCAAGTCTCCCTTTGTCCGCTATTCCGGTTCAGGTCTTCCTCTGTCCGCTATTCCATCTAGCCGGGTGGGCTGCCCCCCTTTGTCCAATACATTTTTTAGACCCATCCTTTGTCCGGTAAAACTTACACACGCCCATGCACTCTTTTATTATGCTAACATCATCCATCGATATGCTAATTGGTTTCATTGATATGCCAATGAGTCCTTTGTCTTTGTGCATTATGCATAAAATTCTTTTGTCTGTCCGATGAAGACCCAACACACTACTCATGTATTTGCTCAACTTGTGAAATGTAAATTTTGTTTTATTTGTGTGACAAATATAGGATGATGCACATGATGAAGAAGAAAAAGTCTTGTCTTTTTTATTATGTGTCCTTTTAAAGTTTTTTTTAGTTAGTTTGCCCATAAAATGTTGTAGTCCACTGTTCATCGGAAAATGAAGCAGTTTTGCTGGAAGAATTACATGTAGTGTACGTCGTGGTAAACTGCACCAAAAGAAATGTAGTAGTGATTTTGGAGTTACTGTACAACTACAATACTTGTATTTATTTTTACGGCACTAAATCTGGAGTAATATCTGCAGTAAAATTGCAGTAGAATTATAATAAACCAAAAGTGAACGTCATGTTCCCGCCCGAAGCTGATAGCGCAGAACTGCAAATATATTTGGCAATAACGTAAAAGGTTGTTCCAGCCCGAAGCTGATAGCGCAGAACTGCAATTAAACATAGCAATAAAAACACAGATTGTTCAGCAATATTCTCACAGATAGTTCCCGCCCGAAGCTGATAGCGCAGAACTGCAATTACATGTATACAAAGCAACAATACCACAGATTGTTCAGCATTATTCTCACAGATTGTTCCCGCCCGAAGCTGATAGCGCAGAACAGCAATTACATGTATACATAGCAACAATACCACAGATTGTTCAGCATTATTCTCACAGATTGTTCCCGCCCGAAGCTGATAGCGCAGAACAGCAATTACATGTATACATAGCAACAATACCACAGATTGTTCAGCATTATTCTCACAGATTGTTCCCGCCCGAAGCTGATAGCACAGAACAGCAAATACATGTATACATAGCAACAATACCACAGATTGTTTAGCATTATTCTCACAGTTTGTTCCCGCCCAAAGCTGATAGCGCAGAACAGCAATTAGCAATAATATCACAGATTGATATGCAATATATTATCACAGATTGTTCCCGCCCGAAGCTGATGGCGCAGAACTGCAATTATACTTAGCAAGTATAGTTAAAACAATCTTGTCAAAGTCTGCTCCCCTCCAAAGCTTGATAGCAAAACCGCAATTATAAGCAAAACAGTACTGACACTGTTAGATCCGGTCCAAAGCTGGTGACGCGGAACTCTGCAATTAGCCATGAGCAACATAATAATGACAGATAAACTTCTAGTGTAACTTATGAATATATCAATCAGCAAAATAGGTAAGAGAATACAGACTGCATGCCTTTTGCGATTAATCCCTTAAACATCTTGTGCCTGAATTACCGACAAAGGCAGGGGTCAAGGGTTTTGCCCCCCAAATCCCAGAAGCATCATAAATAATTAATAAAGTGGCCAATATCTGAGGCCTATTTGCAGTCTTGGAATGCAATTCCCGCCAAACGGACATGCTGCGGGACGGAGTTTCGCAACATGACCGCCGCCAAATAGACTCAGGTCGTATGCAACCGAGGATAAATAAACATAATCATGTAAAGCAATACGCAAAAAGTGTTCAGCATCGGTTACCCAAAATAAACGAGCCACTTCATCGGTCAGGTGAACCTCATCTGTGGGGTGCTGCGGAGTGGTCCAAAGATTACGGTGTTCGACTCGTGTGCCGTGGTACATGGGTTCGAATCCTGACCGTGGGAACACGGTGCTTGTGCTCTTAAGCAAGGCACGTTACCGTTATCACTTCGCCTTTTGGATGGGACGCGTAAACCGTAGGTTCCGTGTGTTGTGCAACGCACATTAAAGAAACCAGTAACACCTATCGCTAAGACTTGGTTACTAAGAGAAGGGGTTTTTCCCGGTGTTTCTTAATAACTGACATAATGTCCAGCGCCTGGAGTATACCTTAATGTAGGGAGATACCTGGCTATATAAGACTCCGGTATTAACATTGTTAAAATTAAAATCTGTCTGATCATATACTCAAACGACGAATTGGAGGCAGCCAAAAATTAATGACTCCCTATATGCATTCCAAAACAGGGAAATAAATGCGTAATGAGCGAAAGTCTAACGGAGGATTGCCTACAAGCGTAATTCGGTACACGGTTATGTAGGTGATGCTTTGCAGAATTTCGGAAAAGAAAATAATGAAATAGGAAAGTGTCACCGTGCGTCTTGCCTGTTGTCATAGATACGCTAGCCCGCCGTGAGTTTCCAGAGTTGCTTGGGTTTACGAAGCCGAAGTCAATGGAGCCGACCTGTAACTCTGCACCATAAAGGCAGGCAATGACGAAGCCGCAGACCATGCCTAGTGCATCCATTAAAAATTCAATGTACTCGGTCATCCGCATTGTGTGCCAGCTGTTGCAATGGAGGCTCTCTCCCAAGGGTGATGACCCCGCCACCCTCGCAAAACCAGTTCAAGAAAGCGTCTCCATGCTCCAACCATGGAGATCCTTTTTACAGCTACATGCTCCTTTTCATAGCTCCATGCGCCAACTTCTCCAATCGGCCTGTCAGGTGGCGAATCTCATGAAAACAGAAAAGGAAAAGTTGAAAACTCCATTAATACTGGGGATATAGATCTTGTTTAAAAATACTGGGCGAAATACGAGTGTAACGACGGTAAATAAATACGAAATAGCCTAAATGTGATAAACCTGTCATTGTGAGGCCCTGCCGGCAAACTCAAGGGCACGACGAAAGGACTGCAAACTGAAGACGTGTGTGACCGCGCTCCCATCGAAAAGAGACAAATAATATCTGAAGCAAGTGGTAATGTGGAACCAGCAATGTTATAGCCACCTGTACTGCATGGCAAAGCATGGCATGGCATGGCATGACGAGTTTGCAAGGCTGGGAAGGAAATAACGTAACCATAAACTGGTCAGCCTGAGTTTTTGAAATACACAGCTCCAGTTCAAACCTAAATGGCGTAACAATCACAACAGTGACACCGGAGTGACATAGCGGGGAACGCGAACTGCAGGACCAGGGCAGTAAAATGCAAATAAACCCGTAAAATGCAACAAAAAAGGCAACTCGATATAAAGGCGAGCATCAAAGTGATTCGTGCATGCAAACGGCCTCTATATACCGACACAATGCGGCATAAGATACCAAAGTGATGGAGCGTCGTCTATCATCGTTTTACTACAAACTGCTTTGTTACTTTTATGAGGAAAACTCAGCTACTATACATTTGAAGAAAAATCAGATAGGTATGAAGTAATCGAAGCAGGGGCATAACTAGATACCGACAATAAAATGAACTTAACAAGCTGCAGCATGGAGGGACAACACTCGGCATCAAATTCCTGGCGTGCACGGAACTGAAAAGATGTCAAGCCCTCCAATATAAAAGGCTCGTGCGAGGGGCCGGGGCAATGGCGTTTTGGAAACTGATGACGCTTTGATGAAAGTCTATTGATGATCAAACCATGGAGCTACAACACCTTGGTCAAAAAATCCCTGTTCAATGTTGCCATGCAAGCACAAATGGAAACAACTCCATACAAGCGATAGAAAGGAACTTCACCTTAACATGTGCTGACCATCTGGTGTTTTCGTGAGAAATTTCGAAAAACACGTGGTTCTTTGTAACTGTACTGGTGCTATTGTTGACTGTTTTGCAAATAGTAACTGCTGCGAAACCATGGAAAATGCTAAACCCAAAGTAAGGTTCGTTGTCCCGATTTTTTCTCCGTAACGTGGGGGCAAATGCGCTCCCAAACCACTTGATAGATTGAAGGGAACGGGCGCACTCATTAGAGCGACTAGAGCGAATTACAGAAAAACTCCAAAATGTTTTTGAGAGTAGCAACCTTGCGAGTACAAGAGTACTCAAGGAAAGTACTTAACCGTTCAAACATGACATATGAAATAGCGCATACCATGGGTATACATTCATCGTAATAAAAATGGCCATAAAAACCCCAGCAAATCAAAATCATCCGGATGAACAGGTAAAAGGCGAAAATCTAATGTCAAATCCGACCGTATTAAAGTGCATCCCAGCTTATCGAAACTAGAAATCCGAGTTATGCATCATCAAACTCGTGTAAATGACGGCAGTGATAGATGGGTCAACGAAGCCGTTCACTGAACTAGTGGTATTGGGGACAAATTAAGAATCAACCGAAATCAGTTGCGTAGGTACCTGTACCAGACCCACCGGTGAACAACGTGAAATTGGGAAGGGCTCAGACAAAAACGGACCGGCCACATGACCCAAGTCAATCTCACAATTGATGTTGCAATGTAAAATGGCTG